TTAAAGAAAGAATGTATGTGTATGACAGTGCGAGTGACAAGTCCAACTGACAAATGACAAGTGCTTAGTGCTTGTAAACAGGCAGTGACAAGTGATAAGTGTAGACCAGACCTAAGGCCTAAGGCCCGCTTTACATTTTGAGAAGTGACAAGTGCGGGTGGCAAGTGCAACTGACAAAATGGCAAGTACTTAGTGTGTATTCTATCCACTCTTATCACTTGTCATTGCCTGTGAACACGCACTAAGCACTTGTCGTTTGTCAGTTTCACTTGCCACTCGCACTTGTCACTTCTCAAAATGTAAACCGGACATAATGTCCGGTTTACACGGGCTTTGTAGCTAAGTGCTTAGTACTTGTCACTATACTAAGCCTCAATATGACAAGTGAAAAGTAACCGTTTACGTGTTGGAGCCAGTAAAAGTTATTAGTGACCAGACATTCGAAATGGAGCGACGCCGCTTGATTTTGCGCAGTGTGTTTAAGCAATATTCAAACATTATTATTTCAAGCATGATCGAAGAGCTTGAAAGACAAATATTAAAAAGAAAACGTTTGTGGACAAGACAGTGGTTACTGCGCAGAGATGAACGCCGCCATTCTGATCTTCTATTAAAAGAACTAGTAACCGAAAATCGAGGAAAATATAGAGTAACTATGAGAATGTCAACGGCACAATTTGATATTTTATTAGAAAAAGTTGCACCAGCAATTCAACGACAAGACACAAATATGAGAACAACTTGTCACTAACTTGTCGAGCTGTTAACACACGGTCAGCAAGCGACAAGTGCTTAGTAAATCGTGGTGGGGGTATCGACTTGTCGCTTAGTAAATAGGATCGTTTTCTATTCACTTGCACTATTCACAAATACTAATACTAAGCACTAATCAGCGTGTTTACACATGCGCTTAGCTACGAAGCCCGTGTAAACCGCCCATAATGCACAACCGGGCATAACGCATGTATCAGACACGTCGAATGGTATGTTTATGTACTCGTATGTATTTCTTTTGTACGTGTTTATTACTCCTCGTAAACGGCGTGTGTGTGTGTCTGTGTGTGTCTGTGTCTGTGTCTGTGTGTGTGTGTGTGTGTGTGTACGTACACACACGTGTGTAATTAGATTCACCATTACACCCGGTAGGTGGCGCTGTTGTCGAGATTCAGAAATCACTAGCGCGAGGCCATTGCGGATCGCTAATCTCTATATATATATGAAAGTCAGTTGCTGACCGTTAGTCTTGCTAAAACTCGAAACTGGCTCGACCGATTCTGATGCGTGTGTGTTTGAGTGAGTCCCTAGATAGTTTAGATTTACAAATTGGATCCGATAGGTGGAGCTGTTGTCGAGATCAGAGCGGAGCGGTAGTATTAAGGGCCCCTTTTCCCGAAAGTTTAGGCATTTTACGCTCTGAGACGGCTCGCGCCCGCGTTGCACAGGAGCCGGCGCGATATGAACTTGGGTGACCTATGGAGGCGGGCGAGCACGCCACAGTATAAATAAATCAGTAGTTCGATTTTGTTAGCTATCCTAGGAATGTTGTTGATAAATAAATTAACTACTTATCCTATACTATTAAACGAGCAATATTTGTATATTTATATTTATATTTATATACACACATATATATATATATATATATATTAAACGTTACCCCTACACTAGGATTTTCTCCTGTATCGTGGGGGCAGTTTACAAACATAAATTGCACAAGTACAAACATCCAGACCCGGAACAATTATTTGTAGGCCATACAAATACTTGTTCCGTGCGGGATTCGAACCCGCGACCCCCAGTACAGCCACTCATTGCTAAGCCACTACGCCACGGAGTCGTCAATATATATAAATATATATATATATATATATATATATATATATATATATATATATATATATATATATATTTAGATGAGTTCTCGAAAACGGCTCTAACGATTTCATGAAAGTTTCAATTTAGGCGTTTACGGGGACGAAAAATCGATCTAGCTAGGTCTCATGTATGGGAAAAATCGTTTTCGCCCGTTTTCGCCCTATTTTCACGCATAAAGATTTACCCGCGCAGTATGTTTCGTAATTTCGCCGCTATTGTTACGTAGCCAAGCGGTTATAGTGTCGGCCTATGAAGTCTACGCTGAAGAAAGGTTCGGGTTCGAATCCCCATGCAGACTTTTTGTTTTCGTTTGATCAATTTTTATTTAGTTTATTTTTTTGTTGTTTATTGTACTTATAATTTTTTTTGTATTTTATTTTTGTATAGAAACGAAATTCACAGAATACATCTACCTACTAAGTTTCAAATATGTAGTCCGAATAGTTTCGGAATAAAAGGCTGTGACACACGGACGGACGGACGGACAGACATACATGATGAATCTATAAGGGTTCCGGTTTTTTCCATTCGGCTACGAAATCCTAAAAAAGCTTGAAAAGGCTTCTTTATAATCATTTACAAAAAAATATCCCATTTAGATTGCCCGAGGGCCTTGGAGATCGAACCTGGTGATCCGAGGAATTTGGGCCGTGGTATGGGCATAAGAAATCTGACAATTGAAGAATACAAATATTAATAATAGGTAAAACTGGAATGAAATAAATAAATTTACAAAATTTCAAAAAGCAAAAAAAATTAATTACTAGAGTTAGTAGGTATGCAAAAATATAGGTGAATATTACTATAGGATTTAAAATTCTTGTCATACTGACTTCGCTAGTCTGTGTAGCTTAGCTAGATTACAGTAAATTATATTGTGACGAATCCACCCACTAAATAGTGGAACATTAGAATACGAAAATAAAAATTGTCATACTGATTTAGCTAATCTATGTCCCTGTTAAAGTAGATATCTAATTATTCCAATATGTATTTTTTTTATTGTAAATGACCTGTTGATGTTACGCTAGGGCTAGGTTATAGGAACTTACGAGTATAACCTAGCCCTAGCGTAAGTACTTACGCAATACACTTTCGGATCTTCTTCACTTTCACGACAACGTAGTCGCGAGCAAAAATAGCACAAGTCCTCCCTCGATGACGTCCGGCTGGACACTGGCGGCACTGGCGTGATGCGCGCGAGTCGCTTTTTACGTATTTTATTTTATATGGAAAAAAATAAGTGCCAAATTATAAATCTATCTAATAATATCCCTGTCAAACCTGATTAGTAAATGAAATATAAAATTTTCATAAATATAGCGTTCCCCTAATTCTCATAAAACTGAAAATGCTTTCAAAATCGATGTTACTTCTGATTTTTTTTTATCGAGTTAAATGTTTAATATTGTGTTTTTATCCAAAAAAGTCAATAGATCAAACGTTTATCTGTACTATATATTTTTTTAGGATTTTAAATATGATGATTTCTTTGAAAACAACACGATTTAGAAACATAAATTTGGGAAAAGGGGCCCTTAAATACAAATCAGTATACAATCAGAATTTTTATTTTCTCTGTCATAGTTAATTACCTTTTTTATATTTATTATACACCTTATATTTATTACATATTTTATTTACATAACATAATGATATACAATATTTATTACGCGAAATAATTAATTATTAAATATCATACAGTTTATATCAAATGTTGGACATGCAAAGTTATGTCGAATATACAAACCGTCCAACTCTCCAACGAATTCTCTTACGCTCGATGAGTTACCGTTATTATAACAGCACAAAGACCACTGCTGAGTGTATCCCCCATACAGTGCCTCCTAAGGGAAAATTCGCAATAGCTGCCACGCAAGCAAGCGCAATTTTTTCAAACTTGTTATTAGTAAAACTCTGCTGCTACTCTGTCGCCACTTACGATACCCACAGGATGATATGGAGTAGTGCACTTTACACACTACGGTGTTAGTGCGTTGGGCCGAGTAAGTTGCAATTACATAGAAATAGTGGCAACAACTCGCGTAAGCCTCGCAATGGATGAAGTTGTTGTTTAACATTCGTGGCAACTATGGCAAATATCACACCTATGAGGCAATCAGAAACGGCAATGGGCCAGCCATATAGTTAGAAAAACAGACAACCAATGGCTAAGAAAGCTACTCGAGCGGTAGCCTTGTCACTAGATGGAGTGACGCAGGTCGTAATACATGCAGGAAGTCGATGGATGCTGGCGACTCAAGACTATTCTTTGTTGCATTACTTGGGGGAGGCCTATGTGCAACAGTGGACTTGTGAAGGGCTGTGATGATGATGATGAGGCAATCTACGGGGAAGACCTATGTTCAGCTGTGGGCTTTGAGAGGCTGTAATGAAATATCAGTTATCAGTATCCGTTTTTTTAATTACATTTGTTTATACCACTAGCCGGATAAATAAAACAAAAATAATCATGCCCACTTTCCATACATTGATTGACCTGTAACTTGATTGCTTTCCAGGTCGCGTCTACCTACAACTATTGTTGTATAAAAACAATTGTTGTTTATAATAACATAATAACTTATCATATTTTCATTTAGAGGCCACGGAAAAATGCTATGAAGTAAATAAAATTTTGAGGTTATAACAGCTGTCACATAAGCTCTGTACACTTATTTTTCTTGCCACACCTTAGTATAAAACCATTAAAAGTCGTATCTATCATAAATTAATAAGTTATAAAAATGAAATTGGTTATTTTGAACATTCATAAAGCACATGATGAATGAACAAGTTTTTTCTAGTCTGAAACGGAACGTGGGAAACATATTTTTAATATATTTTGGCAAGGCTTCTGGGCTTTTAAGCCACTGTAAAGCATGTTCCGTCTCCAAAAGTCTATTGAGAATGATAAACAAAGTAACATTACTTTTTTCCTGGCTTTAATTGGAAATTCAATTATGCGATAAGAAATAAGAAAAAAATATACTATTTTATAAGATAATTGTTACGTCACTAGACGCGTTAGAAAATTGCAATAATGGATATAATCCTTTTCGTCCAGTTACCACCAGGATCCTTAGTCACTTTCAAGTTACGATATCCTAGAAGTGTTGCCAGCGTTATGACCGTTGCTCAACGTACGCCATCTCTTGACATAATATTGGTATCTCATAACCTATTTGTTGCCTGCAGTTGGGACAGTAGTGGTTCTTGTACTTGCAGCCGTCCGTGCAGTAGATGAGCATAACCACCGGGATCAGACTGAAAAATGTGGCTTGTTTAGTCATGCGTTAGGGCTCTTTCAAATGTATATATCGTACCTTAAGAGGATCCATAGCTTAAGTAACCACCAAAAAGAGAAACGCAAATTACAAAAGCTCAATTTTTTTCAGATTTCCCTTATAAGTATTAAAGAAGTAGTGTTAAAATTTGTTGTCTGTGCCTTACCTTGTGTTGCCTACCTTTGAAAAAAAAATATCGACTAAAAAGTAGTTCTGTGGATTTGGCAGAAAATAATTAAATAACCTACCCGTACATAGCTAAACAACTTTTTAAAACTGATAAATATGAATTGTAGTAAACGTTTGAAAGTCTTTTTTGTCGCAAAATTTTCAAATTTTGTTATTCATGTAAACATTAAAACGTAAATTTTGCTTGTTCAGAATTATTGTTCCCCACGCGATTACCATTAACTATGTAATAAACTTATTTACTAATAAAAGCTCTTTTTTTATAGGATAGGGTGTCAAACGAGCACACAGTCCACGTGATGGTAAGTGGTGCGGTGTGTTCTAGAATCAAAATGCAGATGCGATGTCACCCGTGAGGACTAAGATGGAATGCCTCGTTTTCAGTAAAAAGGGTCTCCGGTTCTCTACACTCACCATACGAAACACAGCAGCATTAAGCTACTATTTCACGCTGGTATTCTGTGAGAGCGTGGTCCTTCCCCGGTCGAGCCGACCCATTCGTGCTACAACTATACTTCCGATATATATAGCTCTTCGATTGATTAACAATATGATTGTCTTAATTTCTAAGCGTAAATCTTTTTTAATTAATTTCTAAGCGTAATATCGATTACGGCCAGCCAAACGGAGTATAAAACAGATTTCTTTCCATTCTTACAATTGTTCAGGTCAAAACTGTAATAGATTTTTTCGTGTACAGTTCATTTTATTTACGTTTAATGTACTTTTCGCAAAAAAATTACATAGAAATTGTGCAGATGTTACCTTAGTTAAAAATAAAATTAAAAAAACTATTTATACGCCTGATCAAGTGTACGAAGTTTTAACTGATTCTAGGGTTTATAACAAGTTTATAATAAACGAAGTCAACCAATTCAACATTTACGATTTTAAATCTATATCAAAATTAAATAGAAATTGGGCATATGACGTAGAAGGATAAAAAAATTTGCTGTCGCGCTTCAAAGAAATAGAAACAGATCCTAATTTATCAGGTAAATTGCTCTATAAATGTGATTTTGATCAAGAGAACTACTACGTGCTGGATACCTATAATCGTTCTTCGTCACGTAAACGTAAATGTAACGTAATGGAACACCAGTGGATGTTGAGCTAAAACCTACGTATAATGGTCCGTTACCTATCTCAAAGGCTTAATGATATACCGGCTTATTACCAAAGTTTCTTTAAAAGCCTAATCGCAGAAAATGGCATAGTGCAAGACACGTCCGATAAGGATTATGGTTTTTTTCGTAATCTTTATTAATTAGTTTGTTTAATAGGTTTAAATTTTGTTATGCACGTCAGAAGCTGTATATAGTTTTTATACGTATACGTTTTTATTGTTTTACAAGTTATTTTCATATCAGCAGTTCAATTACATAGTTTTTCATTTTGTTACGCACGTCAAATGCTTATTTTTAATTTTTATGAGTATAAGTGATTAGTAGCATTCAATATATTGTAATTTAATTTGGTTTCACGTCGGACTGGTTTTAGTTTTTATAAGAATAAGTTGTCTCCACATGGAGAGTTCCTAAATAATAATGTATCACAATTATTAAATAATTTTGAATCCTATTATCTCATTTCATACCAAAGACAAATTATATTCTCTTTGTTTCATACGTAACATAAAGTTAATGTTTTAATTTAATTTTACGGGAGAGAATTTTTTTAATTACTGATTTTATTAAAAGTTAAGTTTATAATGCCAATTAAAAATAGCGGCGTGGTCTAGTTTTTCTTTAATAAAAATTAAATGATTTGAAAATTAATAAGCTTTTGATTATTTTATTTAATAATTAACTTATTTTACCGTAACAAAGTAGGTATACTTTAGTCATTAGAAGATATTATCTAGTGAGAAAAGATGTTAATGTTTTACCACATGTACTACTCATATTTTTCAAACAGAAAAAGGCATTTAAAGTACTTATTTTTATTATCCGACAAACTAGTTCAGTGAAGGAAAGTATAATATAACTTTCTTTTAAGACTGATTTCATTCTATGGTGATTTATTTACTAATATTTTTCTATAATCATTAATTTTCTAAAGAACATTGGTGTGAAAAGAAGCTAATAAAGAGTAGCGAATTTAAATAAAATTTATAACTAATTAAATATTAACTTCTACTTTTAGCTTTTATAATTAATGAGAAGAGTATTTTTTGACGCAATTTTTCATTAAAAATGCGAAATTACCGGATTCTCCAATAAAAAGATATTAAGAAATAACTAGTTTTCTCACTCTCCTGTAAAATGTACTTTTTACACTTATGCTTTTATTTTTCTCAAGATACGATATATAACTTATACGTGGTAGAGCCATGCTGCAGTTATATTAGTAGTATAGTTGTAGCACGAATGGGTTGGCTCGACCGGTGAAGCATCACGCTCTCAAAATACCAGCGTAAAACAGCAGCTTAATACTGCTGTTTCGTATGGTGAGTGTAGAGATCCGGAGATTTTTTTTAGTGGAAACGAGGCATTAAATCTTAGTCGTCACGGTTGACAACCCCTCTGCGTTTTGATTCCTAATCGAGGATAAGTGTAAATGTCTATGGGCCCACAGCATTTACTTATTATCAGGTGGACTGTAAGCTCATTCTATAAAAGAAAAAAACTTCACTCGTGTATCACTCTAATAATCTAAATGGTACTTTTGGCGCTTTTGGAAGAATAAATAATATGGTATCTTCCTGTAGACTTAAAGGAGGTTAGAAGTTAAGAGGTAAGAAAGTTAGAAAAGGGATTCTAAGTCAACTTTTTTGAACAGAAAAAATTCCTCAAGGCAAGTGTGAATAGGCTTTTTTTACGCTAAGGCAGTGCGATTTACCATCTACAGTATCATCACTACTTACCACCAGTTGGTATTGTGGGAAAACCCTGGCTTATAATAGGTAGAAATAAACAGATAAGTCTCGTGACCTTGGTTTGTTGATGAGAAAAAGCAACCAATATTAATTCCACTGACAGGCACAGGCCTCCTCTTAATTCTGCTAGGGTTATGGAGCAATTAGTTCAGTCTGCTCCAAACAAGAGGTGAAGGAAAGCATTATGTCTAAGGAATTATGTATTTAGAGCAAGTGTGTAGTCCGCTTCAATCATCGAGCACGTGGTAAATCAGTTTAGAAGTTTAAAAACAACGCACCTGCTATTCCCTTGGTGTTGCAGTTGTTGATGGGCGGCGATAGTCACTTACCATCAGGTGAGCCGTATGCTCGTTTGCCCCCTCTTATATAAAAAGCCGTTCGTTGATCCAATTCCCAAGTTGTTAGCTTCAATTTGAAATGTTGGACTTAGTGGTGCCTATATATTAGTATATAAAAATAAGTAGCTTAAAAATAAGCAGAAAATAAAATACTGTGGTTACCAAACCGCCTGCCAAGCGTTGCAACTGTGGCAAACATCCTCTATATCCATTGACCTTCCCACAGAGGCAATCATACCATTAAAAACCTTTTGATGGCATCCTCGTCATTATATCATCGGTTTATACGACTCGCGGCACGAAAGTCTAGCGGTGACCGTTATTACGCATAATTGGCCGTATTGCGCATTATTGCGTATGATTGGCTTTGCGTATTGTTCGCACGCGCTGATTGGCTCTCTATTCGTCGCATTCCTTATCCCGTAATGATACGTCATTCGCAGCTATCACTTCCACGTTTCGTTCAGCGCTAGAGTTACGTGCCGCGAGTTATACTTGCGTTGACGGGAGCTTACAATTGTATAAAGATACTAGCGATCTACCCTGGCTTCGCCTAGAATAGATCCTCTATTAATGTCATTTTTTTAGATAAAATTTTGCATGGATCTCTCCTAGTATTGCCTCCATAATAACTATAACTACAAAGCAGCGGACTGCTCGCAGTGATACTAGTCTTGCTAGACCTGCATAGCTCTTGCACGTAATATAAAAGTTCTGAGCCGTGTTAAGTTCGCAAGACCTGTATTCAGAAGCGAACTGTCGCTGTCACCAGAAGCATATTTACTCAATAATAGAACAGGCAAGCATAACCATCCTGGAAACAATTTGTTGTCTTACCATGAAATCGCAAAAATAAAAGCCAAGATGTGAGTAAAAACACCAGCTTCCCTCATCACTATTGAATGGACCATCTGTCCACAATGCTGGCACCGGATATGCTTACTATCCGAGCCTGCGTGATATATTGGATTTGGACCTGTAAAAAGAAAATCCTGTTGGGTAATTTTTGATGTCGGAGTCACTGAAATAAAATTTAGTACGTACTAGAAGAGGCAGCGAGATTTGGTTGTTTGCAAAACGCGTAAGAGTTCACGTTGAAACTTACTAAGTTTGTGCTATTTTTACCGACTATACGAGTATGTACCCTTCAGACAAAAATACCAATGCACGCAATACTGCTTGACGGCAGAAATAAATAAATTTTTTTTAAAACTATGGACGAAGTTTACTAAGGACAAGTAAAGTAAATGTAAACTTACTGCCTATATTCGTCCCACTGCTGGACACAGGCTTCCCCGCTTCTGAGAGGGATTTAGGGCAGGAAAGTTTTGAGCGTTGCCCCAATGCGTGTTGGCGGACGTCACTTGCCTTCGAAATATTTTTATTTTATTTTTCACACATGCAGGTTTCCTCACGATGTTTACCTTCACCGCTGAGCGCGTGGTAAATCAACACTTAGAATTGCAATTAACAACTTCATTGATGCCGACGGGGATCGAACAACGTGACATTTACAGCGAACGCTAACCCCCTGAGCTATCACGGCTTACGGTAAGGACAAATATATTATCCGAAATAAAGTTGTTATGATTATAGTTTATTGTTTTTACCACCAGCAAGAAGGCCACAAAAGATTTGGTAACTTTTTTATAGAATAAGTGTGACAAATAGGCACACAATCAACCTGATGGTAAGTGGATGCGGTGGTCCATAGACATCTACATCTATTTTCGGTAAAGAACCAAAATGCAGATGCGTTGTCACCCCTGAGGACGAGTTAATTTTTTCCCCGTTTCCGGTAAAAAAGGTCTACGGTTCTCTACACTCACCATTCGAAACACAGCACTATTAAGCTACTATTTTACGCTGGTATTCTGTGAGAGCGTGGTCCGTTCCTTAGTCGACCAATTCGTGCTACAACCATAATTTAATTTCAACATGGCTCTACCACGTGATAAATTACATAAATTATTATACTGTTTGTTTTTTAGTTCAGACTTACCTGAGGTTATAACTTCTGTTCTTGGGGGCGGAGTGGTGTGATCAGTGTTTGGTTGGGTGACTCTGTCGATCTCTGTGTAAGCCGGTGGTGGTTCAGGGAAGTCTCTGACTGGTATTGGTGTTAGAGAAAAACCATCGTCTGGTGTCAGGGGCCGTCCGTAAAGCTCAGCTTCTTTCGACATGAATGCGGGTAGATTTGAGTTTGGGATGGTTCGAGAAGGTGTTGATTGATAACCTAGAAAATAACTTTTATGACGCTGTGCAGAACACAATAATGGTAATTAAAAAGTTTATATATAAACATTGTTATCCAATTCTGATCTAAAATGCCGCGCTGGTCGTTATTTGTGGGGTTTTTAGGAGTTATATCTACTTGTTATTAAAAAGATATATCAACTAATAAAATTCTGTTAAATTACTAAATAATCTTGATTCCATAATAGCAAATTCCAATTTTTTAAAGGAGTAAATATTTGATGAATCCTTGTACAACTAAACCACAGAAATGCGAAATAATTATTGATGCCGTCAAAAATATAACTTGTAAAAAACCAAGTCTCTCAACTCAGTTCTTCTACCGTAAAAAGTTGTGAGATCCACGTAATACCAAGTCGGTTAATTAATTCAGTCCCTACTTAAGAGTCCTTCTGTTTTAAGTTATTACGTACTTAGCTAACCCAACAACATCTTATAGTGACCATATTATCAATATTGAAAATCTTTTATGTTTTAAATAAATAGATTAACTTGGCTATCGCATGAAAACACAATGTATCTCACAAGTAATACATATTATATTTAATTATATTGTGTAGTGTCATATGTAGATACACTGATTCATTCACTGCAATAGTAATTTATGCAGTGTCATATATAAATATATAGGATTAAGTTATTTATGCAGTTGGTGTATATAAAAAACTGGACCGAAATTGCAAAATATTTTAATTTTTCCTTGATCACTAAACAATAACTGTATTCTAAATTTGAAGCTTCCATGTCTGCTAGAAGTGCCTTAGAGTTTTGATGATCGGTCAGTCAGTGAGTGACAAAATTATGAAATTTTGACTAGTTATAATTCTTAAACTACTGGTTCAAATTGAATGAAATTTGAAATATACCGTGTTTATAAAATGCCTGCTTGGTTACTGAAAATTCAGGCTTCTAGTTTTATCCACTACGAAGTTATAGGGGGTCCAAAATGGCCTGAATTGTTTCGAGAAAAGTATGGTACGGTCGTGCCGCTTTCTTGTTTCTAGACTTGGCTGGGGCACTGCCGTGCCCCCAGATTATTGATAACATGCATAAGTTAGCATTATCAAAATAAAGTAAGCATTATTTTATTTTGCAATTGACACTAATGGACAGGCAATTTATTAATGAAAATTTTGATCTATTTAATATTGCCAAAAGACTAAACTTCGATTTTATAAAGAAAAAATACTTGTGGCACTCGGTGACTGCCGCGGTAAAGCTATTGTATAGCTTTTTTATCAACTTATGCAATTATAATTATTTATTTATTTTATTTATGCAGTTAAGTCTTTGATATTAAACCAAGTTACACTTTTTGAGCGTGGTGCCCGATGAGAAAACAATTTTTTTTTCTCTTATTGAATAAATGAGAAGTTAATATTGTTTAAAATATTTTTAATATCATACAATACATGTAGGTTATTCAGGAATTTTTATCATTGAGCTAGCAGCTAGTGTACACGCATACGTCTAGACGCACGCACACAAACACCGTGCGAAGTACTGAAACGACGTTAGACGATGCACGGCTTTCAACGCCACACTCCGTCCCGGGAGGGGGAGCGTGAGGTTTTTTTTCGTTACGGAATTTCTGGATTCGGTCCCCGCGCTCAAGGCCCGCGATAGAAGCTATGCAATAGCTTAAAATATTTTAAAATTTGGGCGTATTTCTTACGGGATATATTGTAGCGAGAGCGCGTGGAATGTCTAGGATCGAACGCATAAGGACGTTCGCTAATAGTAGCGCCTTAATTAAATTTAGACAATCGGAGGTGACTCAGCTTTTGCTTACATTGGACTAAGATCCCATAAAGCGCCGGTTTTCAGGCACTCCTTCCTCCCTGAGATGTTACATGGGTGTCGCGAGAATTCCGAGAACCCCAATCACCTCTATCATTCACTCATCTAATATTGGAATTTTGCAAATGGTTGTAACATTTCGTAATTATAATATTCATAATAGTTGTTATAAGGCAGACGCTGCTGCCCTTCTCTTGGTTTGTTTCCTGTCTTGGTGGTTGATATGAGGTGGTGGTAGTGGAGTTCTTGTTACGGTCATTCTACTTTGACGTGAATAAATTTGTCCTGGTACTCGGAGACGTTTTCCAGAGAAATATTCGCACGGCCGGTGTATAAGGTATCACCAGTGCTGTCGTCTGCATAGCATCAGCATAGCGTTAAAGTAGCTTATGATCTGCATTCAAGACAGTGACAGAAAGTGTGTCGTTCCATTGATACTGATGTGCTTATTAGAGCCGCGGGCATCATGTAATTTTATTTATTTATTTATTTAAAAACTTAAACGTAACACCTTAAGCTAAAGGGGTACATAGGGCGGACTTAATGCCATGTGGCATTCTCTGCCAGTCAACCCTGGGTGCCAAAGACAATTGTTGGCAGGTGCGACCATTATACGTAAATAATTACATTAAAATATATATATATATTTATATAATAATTTTTGCAAAGTACATACATACACATTACATTTAAATATATACACATATAGTATAAATATACATACAATAATACATACATACGTATATATATATATATTAATATATATACATGCTTATAAACTTCGTAAATAAATATAATATGATGTTTGAATAATATATAATGAAATAAATATCTGAAGTAAAAAAGAAGAAAAGAAAGACAAAAATTAAGGAAAATAATGTTAATTAGTAGTTTCCTTCAGGTAATGTTCTCGGAGAAGAACTTTGAAGACTTTTTTATTTGCGGCATTCTTAATATCGTTGGGGAGGGTGTTCCAAAGTTGTATGGCTTGTATCGTAAAAGACGACCTAAAAAAATTTGACTTATGCTGTGGAAACCTTAACCTCAGACGGTTTGACTGTCGGGATGTTCGACCGTCGATCGGATGAAAAAAATGAAAATTATCCTTAAGATAAGAAGGCGACCTTGGATCGTTTAAAATTGAATAAAGTACAAGTAAAATTCTAGAGCATCGCCTTTGACGTATAGGTAGCCATTTAAGCTTTGTAATTCCTGCTCCTTCTTTACTTTAATTTTAAAAAATAAGGTCGAGGTTTCTTAAGTAAAATAATTTGTAAACATTTGAATCAGTATTCTAATGACGGACTTAACGGGAACAATAGGGCTTTTGTTACATGTTGTTTATGAGAAAGCTTAAAATTACAAAACAAGGTTGTTTAAAAAGGGTCATTATTCTGTAAAAGAATATATGATTGATAGTAACTCCTGGGAATGAGTTGATTCTGTGCATGCTATTTCTAATTGTTGTTGTATTTATTTGTACAACGTAATATACCTATTTATTGTTAATTTATATTTAACTTGTTAAGTCAGAAGAAGTATACATGTATGGTCGACGATGAGTACCTTACCCTCGCTCGGGAGAGGCATACATGTATGCATTACGTGGTTTCGAATTACTACCCTACAAAAAAAGGATTGTCATAACAAAGATATACTGAAATGTATAATACAGACATAGACAAGGACATACTCTTGAATTTGGTACCATAATCTGTCAAAAACTTTGTGTTTTTGCTGGTCCTCTCACGGACAGGGGTTTTTCCGAACTACTGATAAGAGCGTCAATAACTGTGTCTAAGTATCTTGTTATCTGTACTAAATAAAATTATTCTTATCTAATCATACACTACTAGTATCTAATCATATACTACTAGTAGGTAATGTAGTGGCTGAAATTTGGCTATGGTGGTGCGGAGCCCCGAATTCGTTTCCGCACGGAGCAACTATTTATATAGGCTACAAATAACTGTTCCGAAAAAGATCATTGAAAAAATGCTTTCACGAGTAAGCGTGAATGTGATGATATAGTTCTTGCAATTCGTGAAGTCGAGCGGGCTTCACTCGTGGCTGAACCAGAAACAGAAACTTTTTTATTCAATGTAGATTATAAACAATACTTATTGAAAGTTAATTTTTCATTTACCACTTGTTCGCAAAAAAAACCTCTGTCCTGAGAAGAACCAGCAAGAAACCCAGCGGGACTATTTTTTTTTTTATCAAATAATAGCTTACAATCATGTTTACAATTAACAACACAAGACAAATTAAAAATAGCTTGGTAGCGATCACCCTTCCCAGGGGTTATTATCATCCATAAATTCCTTAATATTATAATAACCCTTTTTATACAAACTTAGTTTAATAAAAATTTTGAACTTTGCTTATGACAAATTTTGTATATTTTCTGGGACTTTGTTGTAAAAGCGTAGCGTACACGTTGAACGTGTACATGCACATTGCGTTAGTGTGCGTATCTGACTAAGCGCAAACCATACCCGCTTTTTGTCTCACGCACACTTTGACACGTATACACATACGTGTTTACCACAAGCAAAGCCCGCCCGACTACGTGAATTACAGGAACTATTATTAGTCTATGAGGGCTCAGTTTACTCAGCTCAAGGTAACTAAAATGTGTTTTCATACCAGAACTTCCACCAGGTGAAGGAATCTGTAAAATACTTGATGGTGCAGGTCTTGGAGATGGTTCAAAACGTTCGCCGTAAGCTGGGATTCTGTAATCATCATTTTCATTTGCCTCTCGCAGTTCGATTCGTCTATTTTTGATAGGGTCGTAGAGTATTGTCTCCTGAAATAACATTTTTGGGTTTAAATACCACGCTGCAATCTATTAGGATATGGTTGGCTTAACTGGGGTAGGATCCCGGTTGAGCACGATGGAGCCACGCTACAGCTATATTATGGTTTTAGCAAGAATGATTCGGCTCGACCAGGGTAATGTGGTGGTAAAAATGGTGGATCGTATGAAACAAAGCAGCATCTTAATGCTACTTTGTTTCATACGATCCGGAGACCCTCTCCATTGTTAACTAAGCACATAGGGGTGTCAACGCATCTTGTTTCTTTTCTTTATTAAACAACGTATTATTTAAATTCTTAATAGAGGATTTTTTTTATAGAAGAAGGGGCAAACGAGCATGCGGCTCACCTGATGTTAAGTGACTACCGCCGCCCATGATCAACCGCAACACCAGGAGAATTGCGGGTGCGTTGCCGGCCCTTTAGAAAGGAGTGAGCTCTTTTCTTGAAGGTCCCCAGGTCGTATCGGTCCGGAAAAATCGCCGATGGTAAACTATTCCACAGAGAGGTTGTACGTGGAAGAAAACTCCTTGTGAAACGTACAGTGGTGGACCGCCAAGCATCCAGATGGTGTGGATGGTATCGGGACGTTTGACGTGTAGTGCGTTCACGAAATTTGGCGGCTGGGATTAATCCGAACAATTCCTCAGAGCACTCCCCGTGATAGATGCGATAAAATACGCAAAGAGATGCAACATCTCTTCGCAGCGCCAGTGAATCGAGCCGATCGGAAAGCACTCGGTCGTCGACGATTCGAGCGGCTCTGCGCTGGATGCGGTCAAGTGGAAGAAGCTGGTACTGGGGAGCCCCAGCCCAGAGATGGGAACAGTATTACATGTGCGGCCGAACCTGCGCCTTGTAAAGTTGCAGGCGGTGTGCCGGCATGAAATACTGTCCCGCTCTGCTGAGCACGCCAAGCTTTTTTAGAGGCCAATTTGGCCTTCCCTTCCAAGTGACCACGAAACTGCACGTCACTCGATATGTCGACGCCGAGGATTCCGATACTGGCTGAGGCAACAAGGGGAGTGCCTTGAAACTGAGGGGATACGACAAAGGGGTTCTTTTTAGCGGTTAACGCGCAAACTTGTGTCTTCTGGGGGTTAAACTGGACTAGATTTAGTCGCCCCCAATCCGAGACTCTGTCCAGCAGAGACTCGACTTCAGACACAAGTTTTTCCCGGCACTCGGAGACGTTTTCCCGAGAAATATTTCCCGGGAAAACGTTGTAGGATGTAGGTCATCTACCTAAATCTAATCAAAAATTTGCAAACAAGTTCTCCCCGGTAAATATATTCAGAGTTTTAAGCACAAAAGTCTGTTTGGGCAAACGAGCATACGTCTCACCTGGTGGTAAGTGACAACCGGCGCCCATGAGCACTTGCAACACCAGGGGAATTGCAGATGCGTTGCCGGCTTTTTAGAAAGGAGTAGGCTCTTTTCTTGAAGGTTCCTAAGTCTTATCGGTCCGGCAAAGTCGCCGATGGTAAACGATTACACAGAAAAGTTGTATGAGGAAGAAAACTTCTTTTAAATCGCACAGTGGTGGTGGACTGCCTGTTATCCAGATGGTATGGATGGTATCGCGAGTTTTGTCGCGATGTGAGATGGTGCAATTGTGCGGCTGGAATTAGTCCGAACAATTAGTTTAGATAGTTACGTTTATAATAGTTTAGATAGTTCTGTTTTATAATTTTAATTGTATCCTTATCAATAACAAATTTTTGATGATCATTACACAATGTGTACATAACTTAATAACACCTCTTCGGATGGATAAATCAGTCCGACATTGTCTCTTAAATATGTTATACTGTTTTTATTTTCTTTTAATGAGACTAGAGCTTTTATACATGTTGTATATTTTTAAGTATTTTAATAAAGCATTTTCAACAAATTGAGCTATGTACTCAATAACATGGTCTTCAAACTGTGATAGTAGAACTGATTGAATATTCGTCAAGAAAGAAGTTCTTGGTCAATATCACTGCGTCCATTTGCCATAGTGTGGCCCGCGTGCTAATTTGTCACCTTTTTATATACTGAATGACTTTTTTTTACCGTATGGAAAAAATAGGGTGTAACATGTGAACGGAGTAGAAGCCTATGGCACTGATAGGTATATTTTATTAAAAATAGAAACGAAAAGTTTGAATTTAATAAATAAGTTAATTAAAATCTATCGAAATTCAAATCATACCCACCCTACTTTAGGAACGGCAATAAAACAATATATTTAGTAGGCGTTTTTGACCTTGTCACTTCACAGGGTCACAGTCTCAAGGGCAAAGGGCGAAGTAATTGTCCAAAAAATTTGTTTTCCAAACGTTCCATTTAAAATTTTTGTTTTTATTTTTTGTAAAGTAACTGCCATAGGATTATACTTCGTACACATGTTACACCCTATTTTTTCCTTACGGTCCGTCCAATATATAAAATACAATTAAGAGACATAATTTTGATTTTTTTTTTAAAGAATTTAAAGTGCCAATCGAACCTGCAGTCCATTGAGACTAGTGGCACTGCAGTCCATTGACACCTGCAGCCGACTTCAAGAATAGAATAGAAAAGAATAGAATAATTTTTTATTCAATATAAATTACAAGTAATTCTTATTGAAAGTCAATATTTTACATTACCACTGGTTCGAAAATAAACCTCTGTCCTGGGAAGAACCAGCAAGAAACCCAGCGAGACTTTTTTTTAAGAATAAGAAAGACAAGCTTGAAAGCGACCACCTCATTCCCTGGGGTTATTATCAACCATGTATTCATTTACATCATAATAAACCTTTTTATACAGTTTTTGTTTAATTAAATATTTAAACTTGGTAATAGAGAGACCTTGTATATTTTCTGAGACTTTGTATACATTGCCCCAAGAATGAATCACTGACTCTGTGGAGTCGAGAAACTGGTAGCACCAGCTTGTGTTTGTTCCTGGTGTTTACAGAGTGTATGTCACTTTTTTTTACTAAAACTACCTTTATTTTTGTGAACATACATCAAATTTTCATAGTATAGTGACAGGCCAAAGTTAATATATTTATTTCTTTCTCTAAGAGACTCCCTCGGTTTAAGATTGTAAATAGCTCTAGTGGCCCTCTTCTGCAAAACAAAGGAGGGAGCAGATGCGTTGTCACTCCTGAGGATTGGAGATGGAATGCTTCACAGCGTGTAATTATACTATATATTCTAGTACGGGTGGCAACCCTAATATATACCTATGGGCCACAGCCCACAATATTCCCTTACTATCAGATCGGATGTGTGCTCGCTTGTCATCCTAAATATATTAAAAATTAAACTAAAGAATGAGAACTGACTTATTTTATTATATACTAGCAATCCACTTTACGTGCAGTTATAAAGATAAAGATAAAGATATTTATTTTGTAAAACATGAGTAAAAAATACAGGTGTTAAAAAAACTTAAAACGAGCTACATGTTTTGCCATTTATGGCGTACAAAAATTATACTACATATACTAATATTCTACAAGACAAATTAACCAACCCTACGTTCATAATTTTAGATGTGCAAAAATTTCAATGGCGTCTCGTAAAATTTGCAATTCATAATTTAGCTCTAAACAAATCAATCACTTAAGAAATCAGGCAAGCTGTAATAACATTTGGCTATCAAATATTTTTTAAGATGTAGCTTAAAAAGTCTGGTAGGCAATTGTTTGATGTGTTTGGGGATTTTAGAAAATACTTTTATGCATCAATGCCGTTCTTGAACCAACTGCGCATAACCTACTATTATCCCTGCGATTGCAAATTGTGACGTCCGATGGTTTGTTAAACAATTTAGGGTTACTTTGAACGAAGTTTGCTACTTCATATATAAATAAGGAGGGTAAGCTCAAAATGTTATGCTCAATGAAATATGGTTTGTAGCTATCAGTAATTTTAAGAACGAACATAGCTCTGATGCACCTTTTTTGGTTATATTAATAGTATAGTTGTAGCACGAATGGGTCGGCGCGACCGGGGAAGGACCACGCTCTCAGCGTGAAATAGTAGCTTAATGCTGCTGTGTTACTTGTGGTGAGTGTAGAGAACCGGAGACCTTTTTTTACTGGAAACAAAGCATTCCGTCTTAGTCCTTACAGGTGACAACGCATCTGCATTTTGATTCTTAATCGAGGATAAATGTAGTCTGTGGACCACAGCATCCACGTACCACCAGGTGGACTGTGTGCACGTTTGTCACTCTATTCTATAAAAAAGACGTCGTAATTTTATTTATATATATTGATGAAATAATGAAGAGCCTTGCCTGCACAAATGTTTCCTCATCTCTCTCGCTCGTATCCCGGGGGCTCTCGATGACACTACTTGCACTGCTCTCCGGTACGTCTATGTACACTACTGGATTGTCTTCCTCTCGATCCCTGTTGGTTCGTGAGGGTCCCGAACTCGTTGCGTCTCTGTTTATCTGAAATAACATAATTGCAACAATTGTAATTAGGGTAGATTATGACACCTTTCTTGATATCGAAAATATTAGTATTATAATATGGTTATCGTTTCAAAAAACGAAAACTCGAACGTTTTATTTTTCTATAATATAAGGGTGAAAAAAACACACTCTCTACCTGATGATAAGTGGATGCTGTGGCACATAGACATCTTCATTTATTCTCAATTAACAATCAAAACGCAGATGCGTTGTCACCCGTGAGGACTAAGATGGAATGCCTAGTTTCCATTAAAAAAGGGTCTTCGGATCTCTACACCCACCATACGAAACACAGCAGTACTAAGCTGCTATTTTAGGCTGGTATTCTGTGAGAGCGTGGTCTTTCCCTGGTCAGGTTGACCCATTCGTGTTACAACTATAATATAGCTGCAGCGTGGATCTAAAACGTATATATACGTCTATATTTTTGCGACAGTTAAATTGTTTTTTTTTATTAATTTATTTTATTAAAAACGTTTTTTTTATTATGTCCGAGCGGCTATGCAGGTCTAGGAAAAAAGACCAGTATCACTGCGACCTCTTTTATATTGTGATCGCTGCTGTGGCTATAGTTCACTGCTAAGCAATATGTCTTTAATGAATAGGAGTTGCTTAGGTGTGAACAATTTCACTTCTCGGCGGCGTAGATAGTTTCCCAGATGAGCGTTACGTTTGCGCATTAAGGGTCCTCAATAAGTTAGGATATGCAGAGGCGTTTCTTCCGTTGTAGAACAGAACTGTCACATCCTTGAGTTGCTTAGTCCCAGGATGGATATTAAAAACGTTACCTCCACGCTAGGATTTTCTCTTGTATGGTGGCTGTAACTCATTGCTAAGTCACTGGGCCACGAAGCCGTCAATTATATAAATTTTTTAGGGTAGGCGTGCACAAATTACGTGAGATGTTTAAGGGGGGGGAGGGGGTCGAGTCAAATCTCATATAATCTTACGTTGGAGAGGGGGGTCTCGGCAAATATCACGCAATTTTTTTTTCTGATCGAAACAAAAGAAATTTTACTATTTTGGTCCATTTAATCCAGATTGTACATGCTTAGGATTTAATCTTAAGCGTATATCGTAATACGATTAACCACTTCTGAAATGTTAGATTATTAAACCGATTAGTCATACCTATGGTCAAGCCAGAGTATAGTAGGTTTGGCCAAAGACAATTTTTTTAATGACGGAGAATATAACTTAGAGTTATTACCATATTCTTAACCAAAAATAAAAAATTATCAACAATTAAAATATCGAATTATGATTGTATGAAGGTCACGTGAGCGCTAGAGAAACGACGACTGTAAGACGTTGTTGATAAATAAAATGTTAAATGAAATAGTACAGTAAAAATAGAATTTAACTATGCACTAAATTTCCGATCCAATTTTAAAAATTTGAAAATACTATTTCAGCTGATATCTCGGAAACTATGCACTTTAAGGCAAAAGTTATAGACACCACTATTGTAGAAAATAAAATTTCGCATCTTTTGTTTTCAGAAAACTTTTTTGTAAAACTTACTGTTTACGATTTATGGCCCATTTAATGAACCGGTTTTTCTATCGCGGCCATTAACTTGAAATATTAGATTAATCAATAAAATGCATAAATCTATTTTTAAAGATCGGTTTATTTTCTAAAACTTTTGTTTGAAACTTTTTTTTCTAATGTCCATACTTTTTGAGTTATAGGATGTTTAATGCTTTTTTTCTTTTCACAATAAAAATCCAACGCGTTTACGTAAAAAACCCACATTTTGAAAAATCTCACGTGAGATTGAGGTATGGGGGAGGGGATTGATAAAATCTCATGACATCTCACCATTTCCGAAAATTTAAAAAAAACACCTCACATAATTTATGGACGCCCTCTTACTTCTATTAATATAAAATATTTTAATCAGTAATAAATCTATTCGATTATGAATTTAGTTGAGTATTTCATTTACTTTTTGCAGAGCATCATATACGATTTCAAAATTTAACATATGTACTTAATATTTTTCTCCCACTTGGTCTTAATAAATAAGTGATTTCCTATTACGGCTGTATGCTAGTGAAATTCCTTACTAAGCATTTTAGACGTGCTCAGTCCCTTTCTTCCTTCAAAATCTACTAAAAACTTATTACTTGGTACTTTAATATTCCCGTCATACTTCCCGCTCTTTTTTGAATTTATGCTACTCATCCTTAACTTTTTTATAGTGTAGAGTCACAACCGAGCACACTGTCCGCCTTAAATGGCTGTCCGTAGACATCTACATCTATCCTCGATTACTAATCAGGATGTAGATGCATTGTCACTCCAGAGGGCTAAGATGGAATGTCTCGTTTTCAGTGAAAAGGGTCTCCGGATCTCTACACTCACCATACCAAACACAGCAGCATTAAGCTGCTATTTATGCTGGTATACTGTGAGAGGGTGGTCCTTCCCCGGTCGAGCTGACCCATTCGTGCTACAATATTATTTATATATATATATATATATATATATATATATATATATATACTATATTATAAATGTAAAAATAACTGTGATTGTATTGTGTTTTTAAGCTATTGCATAGCTTCTATCGCGGGCCTTGAGCGCGGGGACCGAATCCAGAAATTCCGTAACGAAAAAAAACCTCACGCTCCCCACTCCGACGGGCACGGAGGTGTGGCGTTGAAAACCGTGCATCGTCTAACGTCGGTTCAGTTCGGCAGACTTGATGATTCGGCACGGTGCTTGTGTGCGTGCGACTAGACGTATGCGTGTACACTATCTGCTAACTCAATGATAAAAATTCCTGAATAACCTACATGTATTGTAAGATATTAAATTTTTAAACAATATTAACTTCTCATTTATTCATAATAGGAGAAAAAAAATTGTTTTCTTATCGGTCACCACTCTCTAAAAGTGTAACTTGATTTAATATCAAAGACTTAACTTCATAAATAAAATAAATAAATAATTATAATTGCATAGGTTGATAAAAAATGCTATGCAATAGCTTTACCGCGGCAGTCACCGAGTGCCACACGTATTTTTTATTTATTTTTTAATTTAATTGTTTAATTTCTATACACCGCTGTGTAGTGGCGGTTGAGAATATCCACTACCCCATATCATCCCGTGGGTGTCGTAAGAGTCGACAGAGGGAAACAAAACAGCTAATGAGCCGCAGCGTCTTCCTTATAACAGCTAGAAAATACAATAAAACTGCGGTTGTCCACTGCCGAGTTCCAAATCTGCCAAGAGCTGCAAATATTGCAAGTGACTCATTCGTGAGCCAATCTATGTGGAAGCCTATGTTCAGCAGTGGACTATAAAAGGCTGTGATGATGATGATGATGATGATGTACACTTCCTGCTCTTCCTAGTGTGAACAATAGTTCATCAACGTGAAATGGTTGTCTGAATGGAATCGCTTACAAAGCGATAAGACCGCCTTTTTTTATAGAATAAGGGTGACAAACGAGCACGCGGTCCACCTGATGGTAAGTGGATGCTGTGGCCCATAGACATCTACATTTATCCTCAATTAAGAATTAAAACGCAAATTCATTGTCACCCTTCAGAACTAAGATGGAATGCCTCGTTTCCAGTAAAAAAGGGTCTCCGGATCTCTACTCTCACCATACGAAACACAGCAGTATTAAGCTGCTATTTTACGCTGGTATTCTGTCAGAGCGTAGTCCTGCCCCGGTCGAGCCAACCCATTCGTGTTAAAATCATTATATAGCTGCAATGTGGCTCTATCACTTATAAAATTGTAACCTTCTATATATATATATATATATATATATATATATATATATATTTAATTGATTTTTATTATACCTTATTATCGTCACTTGAATCGGTAGCCTTACTGATCCCTGGTCTTTCTGTGTTCTTGTGAACTGGCGTGCCAATGGGCCTCCGGGGTAAGTTAGCCCATCTCGCTGCAGTGGCTGAATCCAGTGACGGCACGTCAATGACGATCGGGTTCACGTAAGGGTAGCCCTGGTAGGGACGGTTCTGTGTTGCCATGTCTTTACCTGGAACCAGGGTGTACATTTTTCTTGACATTCATCTAATTGCAAATGATTTCTTCAAAACGGATTAGCGTATGTTAAAACAGTAATTTAAAAAAAAAACATGTCTGATTTTAAAAGTTTGCTGAAAGAAGAAAAATCTCTTACCCTACGTTATTTCTATTACTAAGACGAATCTAACGTAACCCATATGTTAAAATCCATCAAGTCGTTTAGGCTGCAGAGCGTGCTAAAGAAATAGACTATACATACATACTCTCGAAATACATTACTCTCCTTCTATGGTAGTAGGGTGAACAGTAGTTTACATTTTCGTAAAATATATGCCATCAAAAACATAACTTGTAAAAAAAAGTCTCGCAACTCAATTCTTCTACCGTAAAAAGTTGTGAGATCCATGTCCAGGGGACACACATACATACAACATTTTATAGTGACCATATCAATGTAAAATTTTTTTATGTTTCAAATAAATAGATTGACTTGGCCATCGCATCAGAACACAATGTATCTCACAAGTAATACATATTATATTAAATTAGATTGCTTAGTGCGATTGCCAAGTCAATCTATATATTTGAAAACTATCCTACTAGGTTACTGAAAATTCAGGATTCTTGTTTTATCCACTACGAAGACATAGGGGGTTGAAAATGGGATGAATTGCTTCGATAAAAGTATGATTCGGCCATGCCGCTTTTTTGCTCGACTTGGCGGGGGCACTGCCGTGCCCCCAGATTCAGAACTAGCTGGTACCGGGCCAGCAGACGTTGTTCTGCCCTTTCTGGTTAGTGGCGCGATTAGTTTCTTTCCACACACACACTTTTCTATTGATTAATTATACGTATAGCTAAATCCTCTTTAGGACCAATGGAACCGTCAGCAGTCATAATGACAATAAATAAATAAAAAAAAATGGAGAAACATAACCCTTTTATGTACTCTTCCGTAAGCGGATAAAAGTTAATAATATGTTATACAAAATTTTATGGAAATCCGTAAAATAGTTTTTCCGTGAATCGCGAATACACAATTTTTCTACAGATTTATTATACCTACTATGCTATATAATAAAATTAATTAATAAAAAATCTATACACATTACGTATAGATTACTATACCATAGTTTTCTAGGAATTTCCACGCACGATAAGTTTATAGCAGTGTTTCCGGACTGATTTAATGTAAGGTTATATGTATATGTTAATGTAAAATAAAAAAAATGTAAAGTATCAGTCCCATAGGCTTCAAATCCGTTTACCTGTGACATCCTTTTTTTTTCCAGACGGTAAAAAAATCATTCACTCGTATATCAAGCGGTAATGATAATATCGCTGCGGGCTGACCGGAAAATCATACCTTATGCTCTACCAATCGGACATTGCCGGAATTATTTACCTATATAGCTTTATATCCCGATGAGAATGGTCCGAACTAGTCAGTTAGAACACCTCGATAGAATCACTGGCACAATAATCCATACACAGAATTAAAACAGTATTTCCTTCACTTAAAAAGTACGTTAGCAAACTTAAAAACGTAATTTAGACGTAGTTTGTTTTTATAGTGTTACTCTAGCGTTCTCTACGCAATGGTTTCATATCTGATAATTCTTTTATCAGAACAACTTCGATAAGATTGCGACCGCATTCTTTTTATTGTTGCCTACACATAGCTTACACTTGTCACACTCTAAAAACGTGTGTTAAAGACATTATTTATAATGATAGGTAATCGTAGATATTATCCGAAAGTGTCGCAACAAAAAAAAAATACGGTTGACCTTATATACTATCCCTGCAACTTCTCGTTAATTTCAAATGCAAAGCGCTCCGAAGTCCACTTATTGTGACGTTTTTCGAAAACATCATAAAATTTTCAAGAGACGTTCCAGAGAAATCGTTGTCGAATAATTTCGATTTCTCTTGAACGATACGAACGATTGATTGATTTTATACGTGGTAGTGCCATGCTGCAGTTACATTAGTTGTATGGTTGTAGCACGAATAGGTCGGCTCGATCGGGGAAGGACCACGCTCTCACAGAATACCGGCGTCAAATAGTAGCTTAATGCTGCTGTGTTTCTTATGGTGAGTGTAGAGAAGCGGAGACTCTTTTTACTGGAAACGAGGCATTCCATCTTAGTCCTCGCGGGTGACAACGCGTCTGCATTTTGATTCGTAATCGAGGATAGATGTAGACGTCTATGGGCCACAGCAACCACTTACCATCAGGTGGACTGTGTGCTCGTTTGTCACCCTATCCTATAAAAAAAAACGAATGAATCGATTTTGGTGCGGTTTGCGGCAATTGATATTGTTTTTCGAAGTTAAGAGCAGATTAGATTTTAGAATCGACCGATAAGTTAGTTTAAAATTAATCTAAAAAAACCGTTTTTTCTTTGGAAAATTTTATTTTTATGATTTGTGAAAATCTACCGAGCCGAATTGATTCAAATTTACACGAAATATAATAGCAATAGAACTTTTGCGAATCAAGCCGTTCAAAAGTTATAAGATACGGTTTACACAAACACAAACGCAAACACAAACGCAAACACGAACACAAACACAAACACACACACACACAAACACACACACACACACACACACACACACAAACACACGCGCGCACACAAACACACGCCGCGCACACACGCACCACACGCACGCACACACGCACGCACGCCCTCGTGCAACGACGTGTGTCCACGTGCGCCAACACGCGTCAAAACACACACACATACATACGAAGGGACTAGTTAGAATAGCTTCCTAAGAGCTCTAAATGTGAAGATCTGATGACATCTAGATTTTCGAATACCGGGGTGAAAACAATAACTTCCCGATTTTTTGAAAATCATTGATTTTCTAAGAAATTATTTTAAATTTGTTATGGTGCACGTACCGTTACAGCCTATTAAAGTCCGCTTAATATGGGCCCTTAGATTGCTTCATGGGGGGGATATTTGCCATAGTTGGCACGTTTGGCAAGCGGGTTGGCAACCGCAGTTTTTATTTTTAGTCTTTATTGGGAAGATGCTGTTGCTCATCTTCTAATTTGTTTCTATCTGTCGACTAGTATGATACTCACGGGATGGTATACAACACGTAACATAATTAACGCACTTTGAGAAAGTACTTTGTTCAGAATCGTTTACTGAATCGATTCCTATCATTTTTAATATAGGTAATTTTTTATCACAAAAATAATTAAAACTACGTAAATTACAGTCACACTAAATCTGTACAGTCAAAACAAACTGAAATGGACCGTAACTTAAGGCAATATGACTTTTAAGAGTGGAGTTTTATTTGTATTAATACTAATTCTGTCATTCAATAATAATAAAGAAAAATGAACTTTATTTCAAGCACGTTAAAGTCTTTGCGTTCGTGGATTTGTACTGTGACCACAACATTCTTCCGGAATTAGTATAAATAATTTGATAAATAATCAGTGCATAAAAATGTTTAACTAAAAATTCAGTGTATGTATTATGATTATAACATAATATACTAATTGAGGTGTCTGAGGTTGTGCGTTAATTACGTTACATATTGTATATATTACTAGTAGGTAAACAAGTAGTAGTAGACAAGTAATACTAACTGAAAGTCATATTTTATACTTTAACGGTACAAATGAGTTTCTAGCGGGAGTTGAAACTCATTTTTAGTTGAAATTAAGAAAAAGGAAACTTACGTTATGAGCGTCGGCGGTTGGTATAATGTATGCTGCTAAAGCCGTCGGTTGGCTGGCCATCAGCGCTCGAAGCGCTGTCAAGCGCTGAAGCGACATATTGTATAAGTGACGTGCAAATAAGAAAGAGAAAGTAAAGGTATTTGCATGATGATGCAGATTTGCATGATGGTTTATTCTTACTTATTTATATACTAGACATTACACGTGGTAGAGGCGTGGTGCTGCAACTATATTACGGTTGCAGCATGAGTAGGTAGGGCCACGCTCTCACAGTATACCAGCGTGAAATAGCAGCTTAACACTGCTGTGTTTTGTATGGTGAGTGTAGAGAACTCGAGACCCTTTTTTACTGGAAAATGGAATGCCTTGTGCATTCCATCTTAATCCTCAGGATGACAACGCATCTGATGATCGCACGACATGTCTACGGGCTACAGTATCCATTTGCCATCAGCTGGACTGTTTTCTCGTTTGTCATCCTTATTCTAAAAAAAAACTGTTGACCGTAGGAGGAAGCTCATAGTTACTCGGTGAGTAGATAAAAACTGAAGCGAGAATTTCCGTACAAGAATGAGAGTTGCTTAGCAAAAGATTAGAATGGAGGAGAACCGTGGTAGCTTAGATGGTTAGCGCTCTTTGTAAATTTCACAGTACGCGAGCAACCCGGGTTCAAGCTCTGCCGGCACCAATGAAATTGTTAATTGCAATTTGAATTGCTGATTTACCACGTGCTTGGCGGTGAAGGTAAATATCGTGAGGAAACTTGCATGTCGGAGAAATAAGAAAAAAATATTTTAAAGATATGTGACGTTCGCCAACGCGCTTTGGGGCAGCGCGGCGGAGACCTCCTTGCTCTCTCTCTCTCTCTCTCTCTCTCTCTCTCTCTCTCTCTCTCTCTCTCTCTCTCTCTCTCAGAAACGAAAGAAAGCCTGTGACCAACAGTGGGACGTATGCAGGCTGTCTCCAGACAGAATTTCGGTCGCGGCGGACAGTCTCAGCGGAAGCAAGCCCAGGTCGCAGGAGAGTATTATAGTGCCCGATGCGCAAGCACAAGTGCACTCTCGTTTCCGTCACTCTCAGATGGTTATCCCACACTACCGGTGAGATCCGGCGCAAGTCCAACAGCTGAGAATTTATTGACAGAAATAACTGATTTTGGCCCGCGACCCGGGATTCGAACCTGCGACTTCGTTATGACCAACTGCGTTTATGACTACTAAGTAACGAGGCAATCATTATTACAGTAGAACTGACAACCAAGATAGCTATCCTTGAACACATGCGTAAAGCGCCAGTCTCTTGGTTTTCTACAGGATT